TTGGGAGGACAGCTGCGGCTCCTTTGCTGCCTTGGTGCCTCTTCCTCCGCCTGTCCGCGCAGCTAGGAGCTAGAGCTGGCAAAAAGCAATGGAGTGCTTTAACGTGGGCCCTTTGGTCAAGCGAAGGGATTTTGTGCAGTTCGGAAGCTTAGGAAGCTGTTCTAAAGGCTGCGAGAGCCTCGAATCTAACAACAGCTTTTAGGTACCTTTCGCCTGACTTGTGTCGGTTTTTACTGCTCCCAGGTGTTCAAACGCTTCGTCGAGATCGGCAGAGTTGCTTTCATTTCCTTTGGGCCACATGCTGGCAAGCTGGTGGCCATTGTGGATGTTATTGACCAAAATAGGGTAAGCTACAAGTGCCGTACTTATTTTCCCCTTCCTGCCTTAACACAAGCCTGCCCGCTGAGACAGAGTATATCAATATTAAATGAAATTGTCTGTGAATAGGTTTTTCAAAGAAACAAGCAACTGACAAAAAGATTGGATTTAGCAGCTGTTATATATGAAGCTTTGTCAAGGTTTTTTTTTTACTCTTAAGTGAATATATATTGCCCTCTCTGCTACATTTTCTAGGAAAAGTGGGCAAGCAATGTCAGTTAAAGTCTAAAGCTTATACATGAAAAGGCACTAAGGCATATTTAAGGAAAGTGTTTGTGCTCGGGGACTCTTCATGTAATGATCCTGAAAAAGCTGGGGAAGAAAAAAAAGATGGAATATGTTATCTTAGTTATGTATGCTTTTTTTAAAGTTCAGTTCTTTTTTTTTTTTCCCAAAGACAAAGATGGCCTTTAAAATTAGTTCTGTAAAGCTTAGGTTGTATATGTAAGACTTCGTAATCTTTGTATTTGTGTAAACTTTTAATTTTGGAACATTATTGTCAAGATACTGTCAATGTGTTATTAGGAAGCTGATGTCTAAAGTGTGGTGGGAAAACTGCTGAGAAAAACCTTCTCCATTTGTGTTTTTTCAGGCACTAGTTGATGGCCCCTGCAGTGGTGTCAGAAGGCAGGCTATGCCCTTCAAGTGCATGCAGTTGACTGACTTTGTTCTCAAGTTTCCACACAGGTGAGTTGTTGGCATTTTTTTAACCCAATTAAAAAATACCCATGCTATCACTTGACAGAATTATGTGATCTGATTCTTTTTAAATATAGAAAGTTCATACAATATTTAACATGTGTGTGCAGACCGTTTTACAATAATTGAACATGTTTAAGCTTTCATTACTGATAGTGGCTGATAACTGCTGTTCAGGAGCAAAGGAAATAGCACCCTGGCCTAGGCAACTTGTGGATAATTGTGGAGTGGGTGGTGTGGGGGAAAGGAGTTGCAGTAAGTGCTATTTAGTTTCCCTTTTGCTACTGCTTAGGCCACCTTCAGATGTTAAATACATTTCCCTGCCTACAGAACTACACTTGAATTGTGTGAGGCTGGACTCATTCTGTTCCCTTTGGCTTACTTGCCATGTGAGTTTGTGTAGTTTAGAAACAGAAATTGCTGCCTTTCTGATTCTGAGCCAATGCTGTGAATAGTATGAGCATACCTCTTGGGAGGCGCTCATCTGTCAGTCCTAGCAAAGCATTTACACAACAAAATGTTAATTAAGCCACAGAGAGGTGTTGACTTAAAGTGTCTGAAGGGTGATCCTCCCTTGTATGAAATTTGATGGGACAGCATCGTAGAGAACCTTTTTAAAATACTGTGGATATAACTTTGTGACTGTCTTAATGCAGTGCTCGTCAAAAGTGTGTACGAGTTGCCTGGGAGAAGGAAAATATAAATGAAAAATGGGCAGCAACAAGATGGGCAAAGAAGATCGAAGCCCGAGAAAAGGTACAGTTTGTCAAGGGATGAGTAATACAAGCTTCTGCTGATTAAAATTAGGTGCAGTCTAATAAACTGTATATTCAGTTGTAGGCTGAAGTAAAGATAGACAAGGCACAGGTTCTTAGAAGTTTCTACCTATCAGCTTCTTGTATTCTAACAGTAAATGTGATTTTACTCAGTAATTTCTATAACCATTTTTGTTCATGCACCATCATTTCCTAACAAAAGCCTTAAGTAACAAACTAGTTTTATATGTGCAGCTAAACCTAGTTGAGAGGTGATCAGAATTACTTGTGGAATGCTTTGGAGCAGGTTACTTTTTCTACTTGTATAGAGTATCATGACTGCTTCTTTTCCAACAGAAAGCCAAAATGACTGACTTTGATCGCTACAAGGTTATGAAAGCAAAGAGAATGGTAAGTGTTTGAGCATCGCTTCCTCGTGGGGTTAATTCTTGTGGCTTTTGCTTTAGAGTCACGTACAGACAGATGTTAGTAGCCTTTTATAGCTGGCTGGGATATGGAATGACAAAAAGCATGTGAACACCTTAAATTTTTTCTTATCTCACTGGCCACTGCTTTGTCTTCAGGACTTGATCGAACTTGAACATGTGATCTCTGTGTTAGTCTTCTAAGTTACAGCTGAGGAAGGAATTACCTGCTGATGAAATCAGATGTTCTTGGTGTTAGTATTTGATTGCATAATGAAAGTCTTCACATGTGAAATATATTGGGGTGCCCATGTTACCAGCCAGAGTCATGTTTTCTGCTTGGTAGATTGGAACAGTTTTAGGTGGAATTTGACCTTGTAAACGTAATACATGGCAAATCTTTTGACTACGTGATTTAAGTGCAGTGGGTTAGCAAAGGGTGATTATCAGAAAGGGCAGAATATGTAAGCTTGGAATTTAAATTAAGGTGTAATATTTGAGCTGTTGCTGTTCTCATTCTGATGAATAGTATGCATGTTCCTTTTTTACAGAGGAACAGAATCATCAAGCATGAAATGAAAAAGCTCCAGAAAATGGCTTCTAATAAAGGCAAGAAGACGGAGAAGGCGCCAAAGACAGAAAAAGTGCCGAAGAAGGAGAAGGCGCCAAAGAAGGAGAAGGCGCCAAAATCTGAGAAGGCACCAAAATTGGAGAAGGCGCCAAAGGCGCAGAAATAAAATGACCTTCTGGTTACATGCGACTTTGTGTCCTTGTTCCTATTCTTTAAAATTAACAGCTGGTTGAAACACCCGACTTTAATTTTAATTATAAGTTTACTTTTGCTTCTGACCAAGAATTATCTGTCTCATTTATTTTAATGGTTATTGTTTATTAGTGTTTCCCAAGGTAATGTCAGTTCCAGACATTTTAAAGCAGTCTGCTATTGAAATGGTCGAGAATGAACAAAATTGCTTGCACAGTCTTGAATCTGGAAGATGAGAAATAAAATACACTTTGTTTTCCTGTATAAATTAAGGCATGAACTGAAAGTATGTGTTCTGGTTAGAATTGTCAGCGTTTGAAAGCCTGACAAATTGTTCGTACGCTGTAAGTTACTGCATATTTTCTAAAAAAGACCCGACCTGTTTTTAAGTAGTGACCTGAAATACTTGGAGGAGACTTCACATGTCTGACAGCACAGTTCTCCTGACAATAATAAGTGATGTACTAACTATATGGAAATCTGTGAGTTGTGCTTGAGCGTGCTTGTCTTTCAGAATGTTTAAAGTTAGTAGTTTATGTCAAAACCTGAGCCTAATTACAGTTCCTTAAACTATGCAGAATATAATTCCTACTTAATCAAAACTATTAAGTAAAAGAGGTCATGACCTAAAAATTACTTCATCCACCTGAAACACCAAAGTGTTTGATTTAGTCTTTGCCTTATAATATTTAAGTACTAGTCTCAGCATCCATATTTTCCCGTGTTTTCTCCTGTGTAGTTGGTTGGCAGGGGATAGATTATGTTCACGTAGAAGTCAGATTTAAAAAGCAAATTACTTTTACAGTCAAATATAAAATGGAGGAGAGAGAATATATATTTTGGAAAATTAAGTTTGTAAGACCTTTAAATATATTATCAAATACGTATTGGTAAATATACTGATAAACACATGCTTTGGAGTAGTGATGTGGCTTAGTGTTGCTTATTTCAGCCAGAATTGGGCATCTGCATGCTTAACACTTTAAATAATGTTGTTTCAGGCTATTTTTATGCCTTTGGAAGTTGAGTTTCAAGCACATGGTTGATTTGAATGGATTTAACAGCTAAGAAAAAAATAATCAGAAATTCTGCAAATTAAAATCTGTGTTCAGGCATCCTGAGATCTTAATTTCAGATTGGATTTTAGAGTTGTTAAATCTGTCTGCTCTGAATCTTAACTTGAAAGGTATATCAAGCAAGAGGTCCTTCAAGGTGAAAGAGTTGTTCTTAGGGTTTTTTGTGGGATTTTTTATGTACTTCTATTAAGCTCACACTAGGAATAACTGGTAAAAGTGTCTGCAGAGAAGATCTAAGTGTCTTCAATCATGATGGAACATGCCAAGAGGGCGGGCGGGCTGCCTGCGGCTGAGCCGTGTCTGCCCGTGCGAGGGCATGGAGAGCGATGTGCTGTGTAAGAGCGAGGCGATGTTAGGAAAAGAGGGTGTTAACGTGCCTCAGAGGAAAGCTTGGCTCTGGAATGCCATGTCTGCCATCAAGAGCTGCTGTAAAAGTACCGTTTTCCTACAGCTTGGAGGAAAGGGGAAAAGCGGTGGAATGTTTGGTATGTGCACTGTATTTCTGACAGCATGTTCTGCATGAGCAGCATCTGGTGCTCCTGGCAACTCCTGGCACCTCTCTGAAACTTCTTGCAGCGTTCCATCCTTGGTAGTCCACATTCCTTGCGGTCCACGGGTGCTGTGTTACCTGTGAAACTGATTTGTCTCTCTGAAAGCTACGGGGGATACGGAAAGCTGCGGAAGCGCGGGTTTGTTTCTGAAGGTTACCACGCGGTGGCGATGTTGGCTCTTCACAAGGTTGTTCCCGAGACTTGCCCAAACCGAGCAACTGCTGCCTTTTTGTGTGAGGAACACTGCCAGACAAAGGGAATGGCACAAACGTTTGAGAGCAATGGACATGCTTATTCTCTATTTATTTTGCCGTTACAGTTGACCAGGATATACTTTGCTGGACTCAGGATATACCTCACTAATTTGCTTTGTGGAGCTGAGTGTAAAGAAAAGGATCTGCTGTTTAGAAAGCTTAAAGTGAAGCCCTAGGATTTATTTTCTCAGCCTTTTTCACACAGATTATGTAGGGGCCTTGCTGGAGGAAGAGCAGAGAACGGATTCTATCCCAGCTGACTACTGAGATGAGCTCTACTTCCTAAACTGAGAGCAGCAGTGGGCAAATCCAGTCCTAATCTCTGTGCTGCAAAATGTGGGAGACATGATTCCAGGAGCGGGATTGGATCTTTTAGGATAATCTGTATCTAAAAAATATAAAATCTGCTGTTATTGTGGACCAAGTGCAGATTTGGGATGAGTGATTCACTGGTGATGTGTATCTCTTCCTCAAAAAAGGCAATATTTAAGTGCTTTTTCTTCTTTTCTAAACATGTCTGTTGCTGTGTTTGGCATCTTAATGTGTTTCAGTTTTGGAGACATAATAGATCTGCAACAGGAATCTTTGAATTTACTGATCCTTCTGATTTTCAAATACTAGTATTCAGGCTGTCCTTCAGCTGAGGTTTGCTTGGCATTGCATTTTCATGTAATTTGGTTTTGCAGTTACTTGTATGTTAACAGTAGATTGTACTGTCTCTTCTGAACCACTTCTGTGCCACTGGTGCTGACCATGGTCTTGTGGCAAATCTGTTCCACTCTACAGCTGAATTCTCTCTGTTTATTTTGTCCTACTTCACTTGTAGTGCCTCTCAAATGTTTACAGCTCTGTATATTTTCTATCCTTTCCCTCAGCCCACATTGATGTGTCTGAAAACAATAAGTAATAATGTTCATATTTAAATAGCATGGAAGAATAATATCTTTGATAGCAGCCAGAGCTTTAAGTAAGGACACAGTGAGAGGGCACAACATCTGAATATTTTTCGCAATAAATCAGCAGCCAAGACTTTAGAGCTACTCTTTGAACCTCGTATTTACAAAAGCCATGAAACAGAAGGGACCATTGCTAGCTGTATTATTGCAGTCAGATGCTATATAGAGGTGATGTAAATGAAGGATGGGGGAAATAGGCTTGTGAGCTTTTTCCTTCTTCCTTCTCTTGCTTCCTGGAGCCCCCAAATAACTTTACAGGGATTAAAAAAATTTTTTTGGTCATTTATCTTTTATTTCTACCGCTTGTCTCATTGCATTGCACATTGTGAGTCTCCGCTCATCCTGGAAGTCCTGTGGAGAATGGGAAAAAAATTCAGAGAATTTATGGCATAATGAAGTGAATTAAGTCTGACTTGCTGAAAGTGGCATAATTTTTGCTCTGGTTGCTTGAAGCGCTTTTCCAAAGTCCAGGGGGAGGCTGGCAAGCTGCTACTGTTGGCAGTGCATGTGGGTCCTTATCTCAGGTGTATGCAGGCTTCATTGATTCGCAGCCACCTGAATATTACCTTGGAATGAAGGATGGTCACACAGTGTCCCTGTTATGGCACAGCGGTGTGGTCCTCTGGCTCCCTCTGCGCCCCGCAGTCCCCTTTCCTCACCAGGCAGTTTTGAGTCGCTCTTCAGAAGGCAAAGGCATGGATAAATCAGTTGACAGGTAGGAACGGCCACTCGGTTGTGGCTGCACTAACCTTTCGCGTTGACACTGAACTGCACTGGACTTTACTGACAGATTCACTGGGAGCATAAGGTCTGCTAGGTTAGACCAGTGGTTCATCTAACCCAGCCTGGGTCTCCGATGCTGCCGATGGGAGATGCTGTGCTGGAAGAGGATGTGACTCTGGTCCCTTCCCTTGCACTTGCCCAGCATCTACAATAGCAGGATTAGGGATGCTAGAGGATACGCCCCTGCCTATTCCTCTTAGTATCTCTTTTAGACCTACTGTCCATTAATTTGTTCAGTCTTTCGAGTGTGTTCACACTACCTCCCTCCCTTACAATCCTGTGGTAACATATTCCAGAAATTCATTATCACTGTGTAGAAAACTGCTACTCAGCATTTTAAACCAGTCTCCTACTATGAGGACTAACAAGTATTTGAGACAAGAGCTACTATTCAGCCCCATCATGATACAAGGCAGACACCCTTGACAGCTGTAAGTAAGCTTGGAGATGAAGCTGAGAAACTTATTTCACAGAAGAGTGCATGGAAAGGAGGTGAGTTACAGTGTGTCCTCCTTCAGAGTGTCATGACTGGGTATTTGAGGGACTGTCAGAGTTGTCATTAAATGTCAACATGGGAAATTGTGTCATAGGACAGTTATTCCACTGCAAGACTTAAAAGTCTTATAAAGAGAGGATGAGGGAGCTGGTTTTTTTTAGCCTGGAGAAGAGGAGACTTGGGGGACACCTTCTCACTCTCTACAACTGCCTGAAGGGAGGTTGTAGTCAGGTGGGGGTTGGGCTTTTCTCCCAAGCAACCAGTGACAGGACGAGAGTTCATGGCCTGAAACTGCATCGAGAAAGGTTTAGGTTAGATATCAGGAAGCCTTTGCTCACACAGAGGGTGCTCAGGCACTGGGATGCACTGCCCAGGGAAGTGGTGGAGTCACCGTCCCTGGAGGTTTTTAAGGAGAAGCTGGATGTGGCACTCAGTGCTGTGGTCTGGCCAATGTGGTGGTGCTGGTTCATAGACTGGACTTGATGATCTCAGAGGTCTTTTCCAGCTTCAATAAATCCGTGATTCTGTGAAAAGCATCCCCATGCTGCACGGTGCCAACTGCTCTCTAGAATCCTACAGAAAATTTCAGAGAGCAGGCAGAAGGAAGTCCCAGTGCCATGCCACAGGATGAGGGTGCCCAGGGTCACAGGCACTGCCAACAGACCTGGATCACTGCTCAGGCAGGATATTTGATGTCATTGTGGTCCTTGGAACAGGACCTACAGACTGGAGCAGGACAGGCCCTGGCAATCAGACTTTTCTTCCTGGCTGTCTGGGACTTGGTTCTACTCAAAGCCTGTATGGACCTCAGCTACAGGGCTATTGCTTTGTATCATTAGGACATGA